GTGCTTACTGTCTTTGCTGCTTACTGCCTTTTGATTCCTGTCATCTTACTTATCTTTTCCTTCGCTTACTCTGTTGTATTTCGTCCTTTACTTTCCTTTTGTCCTCTTACTATCTTACTATTCTCATGTCTCCTTGTCGTGTTTTGCTGTCTTCCTTATTATTATTATTACCTTTTTTTTCCTTCCTCTTTTCTTTCTGTTTGTTCATCTTACTTCCTGCTTTTCTTTTTTCTGTTCCTAGTGACTCTATCGTTATTCTTTTCCTTTTCGTTTTATATCTTTTTTCCTTCTGTGGCAATCATTCTTATCTTTTTAGTTCTCTCTCCTTTTCTTCTGTCTTTTATTTTAACTTATACCTTCTTGATCTTCTAAATTCGATTTCTTTCTTTCGTCCTTTGCTTTGCTTTTGCTTTCTTTTTCCTTTGTTCCTTTTTTCTGTATCTTCCTTAGGTTTTTTCCTTTTTGTTTTCTCATCCTTCTCTTCTTATCTATTCTCTTTATTAATCTCTCTTTGTCTCTCTTGCTTCCTTCTTATTGATCCTCTCTCTTTATCTTTTTTCTTTTCTCTTTGTCTCTTATCTTGCTTAATCTTCTTTACCTAGTTCTCCTTTTTCTTCTTGTTTCTAACTCCTTTCTCACTTTTTTATTTCTTGCTTTCTTCTCCTCTTCTGTTTTCCTTTCTCGTTTTCTCGCTACTTTCTCTTCTTGTTCTTTCTTTTTATTTCTTTATTTCTCGTTATTCCTTCCTGCCTTTTGTTTATATTCCTGTCTCGTTTCTGCATCTCTCTTTCCTATCTTTTACATTGTCTATTTCGTGTCCTTTTCTTTCGTCTTTCCTTATTTCTATTTCTTCCTTGCTATTTTTCCTATTTATTCTTTTCATTTGTGTTCTTTATCGTTATCTATTACTTCTATTTGCTGTTTCTCTTATTTTTTTCCCTTGTTCCCTTTTTTTTTTGATTGTCATTTCTATTACTGATGACCTTTGCTTTCTGCATCTCTTGACTTTTATTTTCTGTTTCCTGTTGTTCTTGCGTCTTCTCCCGTTCCTTCTTGTCTCTTTCTTTTCTTCTTTCCTATTGATCTCTTCTGCTATCTTCTCCTTTCCTGCTCTTGCTTCATTATTTGCGTTTTGCGATTATTTCTTCTTATCTTTCTGTGCCTTTCTCTGCTGTCTCTTGTCTGTTGCCTGTTGCTTTATATATTGTTATTCACTTATTTCTTCTCATGTTGTTCCCTTGTCTTCCTTGTCCTGTCTCTCGCTCATTTTTTCCTTGCTTCATTACTATTTCTCTATTCTCTGTTATCGGTTTCTTTGTTGCTTTTGGTGCTATGTTCTCTTTCTTCCTTTGTTCTTTCTTGTTATTTTTTGATTCTACTTTCTTTCCATATTCTTAACTGCTCACTTTTGTTTTTCTTTTTTCTTTTCTTCTATTCCTGTCTCGTTTTTTTTGTCATTTCATCTCTTTCTCTTTTTCTCCTTATTTCATCTTCCCAGCTCTTTTGTTATTTCCCTCCTTTACTTTTTGTTTCCTCTCCTTTCTGTATTTATTTCTGTCTTTCTACTCCTGTGTAGTGTTGTCTCCATGCCTTCCTGCCTGTGCTTCCTTGTTTTTCCTATTCTGTTTGCTTGTCTCTATCTTCTCTCGTTCTTTTGTAGCTCTCTTGTCGCTTTTTTTTTCCTACTAATGTCTTTCCTGCTTTCTCTCTTTCCATCTTGTCTCTACTTTCTTACTTACAGCTTGCTTCTCTCTTTTCTTTCGCTTTCTCTTATACGTGTTTTGTTATCTGTATTCCTTTTACTGATCTTTTCCTTTATATACTATTATCTTTTATTGTTTCTTTTTTTGTCTTTACTTCTTTCTTTTTGCTCCTCCTTTTATTTTTCGCTTGCCCTTTTCTACCTTCTTTTTCCCTTTTCATTGTTGTTGCTTCCTTCCCTATATCCCTATTGCTCTCTTAGTCCACTTTGTTCCTTAGTCTTGTCTTGTTACTGTTTTACTTCACTATGTTTGTATTGCCTGTTCCTTTCTTCTTCCTGTTCTACCTCTTTTTCACGCCTTTTCACTTTCTAGTGCTTCTCCCTGGCTTGTTGTTTATTGTCTTCCTCCTCTCTTTCTGATTTTGATCTTTCTAGCTTTTCATTCCCTTTTTTCCTCTTGCTGCTGCTTTCCTTCTTAACTTCTTGCCTATTTCTTGCTTTTCTTTGTCATTCTCTCTTGTGTTTTTGTTACTTCTTTGCTTTTCCTGTCTTCGTTCTTCCTCTCTCTACTACCTGCTGCTGTACTTTCTTTCTATCTCTCTTCTCCCGTTCGCTTTTCCCATTATCTTTTACTGTATTTCTATCTTGCTTATTCCTCTCGTTTCTTGACTCTTACTTGTTGCTTTCTCTACTCTTTCCTTCTTGTCCTCTCTCACTCTTGTATCTTCCTTATTTTCTCCTTCTCTTATTGCTCCTGTTTATTCCTTCTTTATCTTTCTTGTCTGGGTTTTCCTTTCTTAATTTGTTCCAACTTTTCTCTACTTTCTTTTTTTTCCTGGTCCTGTACTACTTCTCGATTCTTCTGCTTCCTTTCTCATTATCTCTTCCTAATTTTCTCATTCATTTTGTTCCTGTTCTTTGCTATTTAGCGTTATTTCCTCTGTTGTCGCTTGTTTATTTCTTATTTTTCTTTCTTTCCTTCTGTCTTTCTCACTTGTCTCTTCTACTTCTTCTTCCCATCTGTTGATAGTATTTTGATTGTTCCTTTTACTGCTTGTTTCTCTTTCTCTTGCTTGTTGCTCTTGTCTGTCGTGGTCTGTTGTGTTGTTCATTTTGTCTTCTCCATTGCTTTCTTCTTGATCTTCTTTCGCTCTTGCTTTCCCTTCTCATCTATTATTATGCTACTGTTACTTACGTTCTCTTCCTTTCCATATTTATCTTTATCGTTACCTTTCCTATGTTCTGTTCTTCTTTTTCGTGCTGTAGTTGGCCTGCCTTTCTTGCTTTCTAATTTTTATTACCTACTTCTTTCTATCTTACGTACTATCTTTTATTTCTTTTTCCTTTCTTTTTTACTTGTCTACTCCTTTGTTTCTTCCTTAATTTGTCGCTCTTACTTGTTTTCTTCTCTTCTCCTCCTTTTATCTTCTATTTTCTGCTCGTCTCCAAGATGCCTGTTTCTGTCTTCCTTCTTTTCGTTTTTCACCGTTTGCGTCCTAGCCTTTTTATCATTGCTGTTTCTTTTTCTTTTGCCTTGTTTTC